AATATGCAGGAGCTCAAATATGCAAGAGCTCAGTCCAAATTCTAGAATCCCCAGATTTTCTGCAGGTAATTGATGGATGGGAGTGTTTGCAATATTTTAACTTCATATAGTTAGCCCACAAAGATTTTTGTTCTCTATTGGAAGGACTTCCTGCCAAGCCCCCCTGCAGCTAGAGGCAGACAAAGCTTCTCCCAACTAAACCAGTGAGCTTGTTTGTGATTGCCTTCCCACAAGAATTTATTCAACATCAGCTCTAGAGTTTTCTGTATACCTCTTTTGATTTTCAGCATTTGCAAAATATACATAGGGAATGAAGCCAAGATACTTTTAATTAAAGTGTTAACCTTCCCCTCTGTGACAAAAAGGAATTAGTCTAATAAGAGATTTGTTTGGAAATTTTAGAAACTACCTCATCAAATTGAGTTTTCTTCTTCCTTCCTTTAATTAAGTGTACCCCAAGATAAACCAAGGGGCTGGTAGTAGATTTAAAACCAGTAAAATCTTTAATCCAGTTTTTGGTAGGAGGATTTAGCTTATTGCTAAATATAAGTTGACATTTCTTTGAGTTCAGAGATAGACCAGAGATCTGTTGGAACAAGTTCAGCAGATTAACCACCTTCTTCACTACTGGTTTTGAGGCCTTAGAAAATAGTATGAAGTCATCAACATAACATAGATAACTTATGGAAAAATTTGCTTTTTTAGAAAATCTGAGATATTCCCTTTCAGAAATATAATGGTTAAGAAGCCTAGATAAGTAATCCATAACCAAAATGAAAATGTATGGAGAAAGGGGGTCCCCTTATTTAATTCCCCTAGTGGCTTGGAACTGCCCTTGTGAATTCCCATTAATAAAAATGGTATAATAATTATTGTTAAGCCACCTATGGTTGATTTGGCAGAAGGAATTTTGAAACCACCTAGCTTTAAGAACTTCCAAGATAAAATTCCAATTGATAGTGTCAGAAGCTTTAGAGATGTCCAGCTTATATATAAGATTACCCCCTCTGCAAGGCTTG